TCACTGTCATTAAAGCGCGACGCAAATCGTTCTCATTTTTGGCAAATAATTTCAGATCATCCATGTATAACAGATGATTAACTGTATTGTTTGCGTCTATAACAAAATCAGTCTTTTCTCTGTTAAGCATACCGGTCAGTGGAATTAGTGACATGCAAAACAGTAGGGGGGAGAGAGAATCGCCTTGAAATATGCCTCGCTGAACGCCTATATGTCCGGTTTTTATGCATCCCTTAGTGTGATATAGATGCATTTCGGTTTTCCATGTTTTCATTGAGCATTCTATGTACCTTTGTATAGTTGGACAAACTCGATATAGTTGCAGTACTTTCATAATCCATTCATGCGGTAGACTATCAAACGCTTTACGGTAGTCGATCCAGGCCATGCATAAGTTTTTCCTTCGTGTTTTTGCCACACTGACTACCATTTTGCTGACTATTATTATTATTATTATTACTATTATTATTATTAGTATTATTATTATTATGATTATTATTTGCACGTCAGTCCTAGAAAATAATTATTCACGTAATTTTCTTTGCGAAATTTCTCTAAAAAGTTTTTGTCTCGATTTTTCTGATGGAAAATTACACTTTTTAAGAAATGGCAGACATGCATGTAATATACAGGGTGTCCGCAAAGTTGGGGTTTTCCTTCACACGACGTGTAGATCTTGAAAACATAAGCAATTTTTCTCAGTACCATATACACCAATGTCTTAAGGAAACCGAGATAAAGGGCTCTACAATATCAAAAATATCTGAATACCGTCCTGTAGCCGCGACCCGCGACATCACCGATTGGTACAATGTCAGTGGCTCAACCCGACGACAGAACTGGGTCGGGGTCAGTGTGTCAAGTCAGTATGCAACCTTCAACCGACGGTTACGGTCACGCGTGTAGAGGTAATCGCGCCCTTCAACATGACGATTTTCCAGCAAGAGTGCGGTTTTGTGAGTGGTTGTTGCATCAACATGACAATAATCCGGACTTTTTGAAGTGCATATTGGTGACAGACGAATCTACGTTCACGCGTAATGGGGTGAATAACTTTCGCAACACTCATGTTTGGTCAGTAGAAAATCCGCACGCTGTCCGCCGGGCACATTTTCAACAAACATTTTCGGTGAATGTTTGTGCTGGCATGGTGAACGGTATGCTCATTGGACCATTTATTCTCCCAAATCGATTGGACGGGATGCAGTACCTAGACTTTTTACGCAACATTTTGCCTTCCTTGTTAGAAGATGTGCCATTAAGTGTAAGGCAATCAATGTGGTTTCTGCGTCTGCTCGGTAGCGCATCAGCTGATTTCATTTTCTGTTGGAGCGGTATGATTTCGGGCAGAGACGTACTTAGCTCTTCTCGTCAACTGGAGAGTGAGTACTTTTTCCTTTATTTTTTTTACGTGGTCGCCCTCGTTTCACTACACTTTACCTTTGTTATTTCAAGGGTAATTGTTTCTGAAAAGGAAAACCCCAACTTTGCGGACACCCTGTATACACGTGCTAATACAGACCTAAATTTGTGAATTGACTTAAACATACCTCAGTCTGAAAGTTGATAGTTTGCGAGATACAGGATGTCAAAGTTACAATTTTATTTTCTATTTTTCGGTAGAGGCAGGTTTTCTAGTACGATAAACAAGAATCCGTTATTTCTTATAGCCAAACTTCTAGAGGGCGCCACTTACAGAACTATTCCGGTAAATAACTTATCATAACTTTTTTGCGCTACCCTATATACAACAACTAACCGAAATATCCTATTTTCTTGTATTTTTACAACAAAAAAGGTTCACTTGCTAAAACTGTCTAAAGCTAATAGTTTTCGAGATATTTATTTTTAAAGGTTCCAATGCATTATTTGTACCATGGTGATAAAACATTAACTTTGATACCCTGTATCTCACAAACTATCAACTTTTGGACTTAGGTATATTTAGGTCAATTCAGGTATTTTGGTCTGTATTCTCCAGGTTTGAAATTTCCCAACCTGTATGTAGGTACCTCTACATTAGCTCACTTAGAACACAACGCAGAACTATTACAGTATATTCAGAAAAGAGATAGACCGGACATAAACAAGACCACGTGATCATCGAACGCTGTAACATTCGGCAGGGACGTATTAAGAGTCACGCAGTACATATTTTAGATAGTAGATGCTGCTTTGCGTAACTTTGTAGTAAATTAGCACAATTCGATGTGTATACGATTGGTGATGGATATAGGATCATGTGGGGGTGGGGTAAGAAATATATAATGATGTAAATATACATAAGGGTTTCAAAATTTTCGCTTCGATTTCCAGCTTCGGATGCTGCCTGATGTTTGGTGAAATACAGTCGAATATAATCTCAAAATGGCGTTTAAATTAGCCTTCTTTAAAAATAATCGTATATCTCTTAAAATTGCTTTTAAAATATTGATTAGTATATTTTTTGATTTCTAGGTAAATATGTAACCAAATTAAAACGTTCAAAACGTAAAAAAATGTGCATGGTTGAACATTGTCAGAAAGTAGATTCTTGAATAGGTTTTGCCAAAATGGGTTCAAAAATGTCAATAATTAATTAAAAAATACAGTAGCTTTATAATTACTTATAACTTACCGAATTTGATGAACGACATCTTTTATTGGAAAGATGAGCTTGATGAGCTTTCATCATCGCTACTGCCTGAAGCACCAACGTCAATAGTGAATGGCTCGACTTGTTCCTCTAAAATATTGTCCAGTTCCCACATTCTCTTTACAACTTTGTCTTTCACGTGCTTAATACAGTTTTCCCATTTTTGCGCTGTTATTAATTCTAGTGCTTCTTTGAAAAGTCCTTTGAGGTCACAAAATTTAAAAGTTGTATTGTGCTTAGCTATATAATTTTTAACCTCTGCCCATATGAGCTCAATGGGATTGAGCTCGCAATGGTATGGAGGTAAACGGAGCACAGTTTTATTTTGACTTGCTGCCATTTCGTCAATGGCGTATTTTTGATATTCCGCCTTGTGATCCTTGACAATTCTTAATAATTGTACTTTCAGCATTGCTTCTTCAAAGTTGATATTTTTCGAGCGGAGCCAATTTTGAACATCAACTTTCCTTGAAGCCGTTGTTGGGACCTTCTCCATTCTTCGAGAATGATAAGGCGCATTATCCAACACAATTACTGCGTTTTCCTCTAAGTTCGGTAAAATTTTTGAAAACCACTGTTCAAACGATTCGCCATTCATTTCCTCGTGGTAATCTCCAGTTTTCTTAGACTCAAAGCACCACAGACCGTCAACAACAAATCCATCCTCACTGCCAATATGGCAGATAATGAGCCTTTTCCCTCTACCTGGAAATCGAAGTACTAACTGGTGTAGGTTTATTTCAATAAGCGAACCTTTTTAAAATGTTTTCATCACATTCAGCGAAAAAACATTGAGACATGAGTATCAGATTGCTATAATTGGGATTATTTTCAGCGCTTCACAATTTTTATAAACCTTTAAAAAATGAATGATCAGGAACCTGAAATACGCGCAATTATTAATATTAACAAATTATAACTTTATAAAGCTTAAAGTATGAATTAAAATGATTAGAAATATTAGGAACGGTACACAATATAAAACTTAGTAACTTTTTTTATAATATTCGACATATTTTAAGATTATATTAAAAAATTATTGAAATATCGAAAACACATAAAAACATGGCTTAAAAAAGTTTTAACAAATGAAAATGACAATAAAACATCCACGCATTTTATCGAAAGTTATAAAAGTTTTGTTACTTGTAATATGTTTTATCTGCCCTCTGGAATTAATGTTTAGAACCTTGTTCCCAAGGTTTGAAAAACATCCGATTGTTGTCTATTACTCGTGTTTACCTGCTGGATTTTTTAATCCGGTGGACAGTCCATCTAGAAAGGCCCTCCTGGATGAAGTTACAGAATCATCAACCCATACTTTACTTGTAGTGTGTCCTGCGTTTACCCACGTTTCATCAAGGTAATAAATCTTCCTGTTTTGATTTCTATATTTCCCAATTTTTGTTAAATAATCCCTCCTCCATAGCACAATTTCTTCTCTATCCAGTAGTAAACTATTACGACCCCGTTTTTTCCATTTGAAATTTAAATGCTTCAGTAACGCATGGAAAGTTGATCGTTTGAAATTTGGCAACGTTGTATCTCCATTTACCTCCTGCAGTACTTTATCTATAGTAGGTATTTCATTCCTAAAGAAGAATTCGTGCACTTTCCTCCTAATCGCATGCTTATCAGCTTCATCCAATGATTTAACAATACTTTTGCGATGTTTACTGGTCATTGGCTCAGAAAAGGTGTGATTTTTTTTGTATTGTCTTAACACATTAAACACTGATGCGCGACACACCCCAACTTTGTGAGAAACCTTCACAACAATTTATTTGATGGTTGATGCCTCGTTCTCCTCGCGCTCGATCTTATATATATTCAAAATGACCTCTTTCATTTCTGCACTCAGGTGTCTTTTTTTAGAGCGTTTCCTAGGTGGACTACAGGAGTTTACAACTTCATCGGCAATATCTGTACTACTGGGCATTTTGCGCAAGCAGTTGATAACAATAACAATCAATAACAAGGTATAACAATAACAACGACAAACTCAACAACTTAATAAGATAACAAACGAAAACGTCCAAAGAAATATCAAATTGCAATGATGCACACGACATACGTAACACGTCTGAACCTGAATGTGACTCTGCCTTGCTGCCGCTCGGCATAGGCATTTAATTGCGAATTGACCAATGAGGGCTCCTGTTTTACGTCGAGACGGCGGCGTTAGCGTGAAAATCACCCAAACCTTTTGTTTACATCCGGTCTATCTCTTATCTGAATATACTGTAGGTCTGTAGTTGCAATCCTGACGACTTGTGGCTCAACAAGCAATAACGATTGTACGTGGGCCACAAACTTTAATTTCCGGTCACGAAAAAGCAAAGTAACCATGGAAATAAACGCTATTCTCCTCTCACCTGTAGAGCATCCTTTCTTGTCGGTCAGCCTCCACGTAGATCCTATAGTACATGAAAAACATCACCATGCCGGGCACCCAGAAACTGACACTCGACGAAATGACGGCGTAAGTCCGATTCACCGTGAACGCGCACACGTGCGGATTTTTCTTCCTGAACTCCAGATGGTCCTCGGTCGTGTACCAGTCCATGAAGATGGGCAGGAAAGACAGAAGCGCGGGACTGCACCATACGATGGCCAACATCAGCATCACGCGTCCGTTGGTCATGATCAGCGGGTAGTCCAGCGGCTGGACGATGGCGTAGTACCTGGGGGGAAAAAGAACAAATTACACTGTTTGATTCAGATAAAATAACTAGATTTTGAGTTATTAAGCTTTTAATAGGATAACACACCAAAATTAAGGAAAAAAATCACATCATCCATGGAAACAAAAGACAAATAGTGGGCTAGTTCCATATTGCCACGAAAAGTACAGATTTGACGTAAAAACTAATAACAATCAGAACAGTATAAATCAGCTTCAACTTTGATATGAAGGTCGACATTTGGACGCCCTGTATAATGGCCAATATTTTATAAATGTGCTCTCAAATGTCATGTATAACATCCCATAAATATATTTTCCCAAAATGTATTTGTTTATGAGTAATATTCCGTCCACACATGAATGGGCGACCCTGTATATCTAGTAATACAGGTTTTATCTGGCCGACAACAGACTGTCAACCATTTCTAAAAATACAACCTAAAGCTTTGCTAGTGCTGTTTACAATTTGATCAAAATTCATCCTACTGTTAAATACCACTGGACAACAAATTTTAGTTTTTTAATTGTATCTTGTGGGAAAAGTGCTCTTCTTTGTTAATTTTGGGGCGCTCAATCCAAAAATGACAACGAAATAAAAAAATTAGTTGCGGTTTAGAAAAAACTTTTTATTTTTAAGGATATATTAAAAAAAGTAACAAGATTCATATACTTATAAGAATCACTATATGCGCTGTCTTTTTGCTGTTCTTTTATGGATCGTTTCTGGAGCATCTCTACCAAGAGTCCAACAGTAGTCTGCAAGCATGGAAGGATTCCACTTTCCCTGGTACCTTTTTTCCATTGTTGAAATATCCTGATGAAAACGTTCGCCGTGCTCATCACTTACGGCTCCGCAATTGTCAGGAAAAAAGTCCATGTGTGAGTGTAGGAAATGTATCTTAAGAGACATATTACAGCTCATCTTTTGATACGATGACAGCATATTTTTGACAAGGGTTTTATAGTTGTCAGCTTTTCTATTTCCCAAGAAATTAGTGACCACCAGACGGAAATCATTCCAAGCAGTTTTTTCAATACATGTTAAAATGTTTTCAAACTGTGTATCTTTCAAAATATTTCGAATCTGTGGCCCAACAAAAATACCTTCTTTAACCTTTGCGTCACTTAGTCTTGGAAATTTCTGACGCAGGTATTGAAAAGCTGACCCATCTCTATCTAATGCCTTGACAAAGTTTTTCATTAGGCCCAACTTGATATGCAGTGGTGGTAATAAAAATTTTTTCTACTAATGGCATATGCTGACATTTTTTGACCTGGCTCTAGGAATTGACGAACAGGCCAGTTTTGTCTGGTGTAATGAAGTGCCTTTACCCGACTGTCCCATTCACACAAAAAACAGCAAAACTTTGTGTAGCCTAGCTGCAGCCCAAATAAAAGTGCAACAACTTTCAAATCGCCACAAATTTGCCATTGGTGCTCATCGTATTTTATGCATGTCAATAGGTACTTCATATTGTCATATGATTCTTTCATGTGAACTGCATACCCTACAGGAAGAGATGGTAAAATATTTCCAATATGCAATAACACTGCCTTTAAATTCAATGTTGAACTGTCTATAAACAATCTCCATTATTTCTGGGTTATAGTTTATATTTAAAGCCGCCAGTAAGCCGTTAATGTTACTGCAGAAAACCAAGTTATTCTCCATATTGAAAAATGGTTCTAAGTCTTTGTGGCGTTTACGAAAAACACATACCGAAACAACGTCTTCTAACAAGTTCCACTGCTGCAGTCTTGATCCAAGTAACTCTGCCTTACATTTTGGAAGTTCTAAATCTCTTACAAGATCATTTAATTCTGACTGTGTTATTTTATGCGGTTAGTGGCATGACGTGCTCGGTATAAAATCAGGATTCTTGACGTTGATGGCATATCTTCTTCCTGACGAATCACTCGATCGCCATGATCTGATTCGTTTTCTGATTCGCAAGTGTAGGATTCTGGGGGTTTTGGAATAGGATTTTCGTCACCGTGAGGCACAGGTCTCATCGCAGATGGTATGTTTGGGTAGTTAATAACCGATTTTTTTTTCTTGGACATACCTGTGGCTTGTCCAAAACCAAGGTACCATGCAAAAGTAACAATCATTAATATGATTTGTAGGCTCTCTCCAAACCATTGGGACAGCAAAGCGCATAGACCGTTTTTTGCCATTTAACCAGCTCCTCAGACTTGAAGCACATGTATTACAGCAGATGTGGGGTGCCCACTGTTTGTCTTGATCACCTAGTTTACAACCGAAATAAAGCTGATATGCCTTTATTATTAGTGGAGTAATAGACCGTCTCTGAGACGCAAAAGTCACATCACCACACACGTAACAAAACTGATCTGGATTGTTTACACACTTTCGAGACAACTTGCATGAACGCTGTTAGCCAACTGAGGAAAAAATGGCTAATATAAAACAATATAATGTACACGTATGTATAACGTAACACAATCATGCCGATTACATCATCTTTCCTTGCCGAATATAAAAATGTAGCACGTGCATTCATGTGAATTACAGTATATTAACACTGTCACAGCAGGAACACATATAATTACCGTATCTCTAAAACTTGAACTAATATTGAAAATATAAGTTTCATTCCGGTTGTAGCACATTAAAAATAGTAATATTTTGTTGATTTTATTTAGGATATTTTTTGGCTGTTGATCAGTGTTATCAAAAAAATCTATGAATGTTGACTCTACACTTCCTACACAACTTTAGTATGATTGTTACGCATAGTATCAGCAAGTATTATTTTACTTTCTTACTATCTCTTCGACGTCACAAACCGAACACTTGAATGAATCTTCAAATATATTTTACACCGTAAGCAGATTGTGAAGACCGACAACGCAATTGACACTGATTTCAAGTCAAAAATGCAACAAATGCAGAAGATTCCGTTATTAACCAATATTTTTAAACTGACACAATATTCATGGCACTGTTACCATCGTTGTCTTTATACAGAGTGTCTGCGAAACGTTGGGAAATCTGTAGTATCTCCACTTTCGAGATTTGGTCATGAGAAAATATACTAAGTGACATATAAATCCGAACACCCAGTTTAAATGGTTTTATTTTAATAAAATTTTGTATAAGTACTTAATGAAGCATAATAAGTAAATGATAAAAATTTCAAAATGATTGCACTGCTTTAAAGCCCTTTGACCTTTAATAATGTGTGGATGCACCCTGATGTGCTACGCATTCTCGAACGCCCCTAGGCATGCTTCTGATCAGGTGGTAAATGTCCTCCTGTGGTATCTCATTCCAGGCAACCACCAACTCCTCTCGAAGTGCTTCTAGAGTCTGAGGAGGACGTTGCAAATTGAGCAATCTCCTACCCATCATATCCCACACGTGCTCAATTGGGGATAAGTCGGGAGATCTTGGTGGCCATGGTAACAATGTGACATCATTATGTTGAAAAAAGTCTATAGTCAACGCCAAACAAAGTGGCGTGCACGTCATCACGATAAAAATTCCCCGATCTAATGCCTAGGTTTCTATCACAAACAATTGCTCTATTGCAGTTTCATATTAATGTGATATATAAATTGTAAAATGGTCATTACTCTCTTATTATGGTTAATAGTCATATAAATATTGTTATTAAAATATCACATAAGTTGCTTTCTGATAAATTTAGACGCATTATGCGAAATAAAATGTTTTGCAAACGCTCCAATCACTTATCGACATGTAAACGCACTAAACCGATTTCGCAGCGTTGACACATTGTCACCTTGAAACTTATTTAAACTGGGAACTGACATTTGTATTAATTTTGACACTGAATCAATTTGTGTCATTTCAAATCTTTTAAATCGTTTGGCCCCGCATACTGTAAATCAACAACTGTTTGTTTCAAAACAAAATTATTCATTTTACGAGTAGATAAAGGCAATTTTGGTATATAAAGATGCCCAAACAGTTAAATAGTCGGTGTAAGGAACTCGTGGCCTCGTTAATGCACTACTTTGAGCAAGAAAGGGACAACAACGGGCCTTTGTTGCCTTTAAATGCTGTTCAAGAGGTAGGTTACTAATAATTATATGTAATGTATATTAATAATAGTGAAATTTTATTTCATTTTTTGTAGCGTGTTGCTGCTGCTTTAAAAATTAGTTTAAGGACAGTTAGTCGTATTTCCGAGAGTGTGAAAAGTGATGCAAATTTAGAATCGCCCAAGAAAAAGCGGAGTTATATTAAACGTGTAACCAACACAGCGACATTGGATACAAGTGCCATTCGAGAAGTGATCTATAATATGTATCACAAAAGTAAGATCTTATTATAATAACTTATCAGAAATTTGCATTAATTTGTTAACTAAATTATAATGTCATATTACACATGGTTTCAGAAGAACAAGTTACGATACAAACTTTATGGTCTCGATTAAGAGATAGGGCATTATTTGATGGTAGTGCCACGTCTTTAAGGCGGTTGCTTAGAGATCTTGGATTTAAGTGGCTTAAGGACAATCCGCGACGAGGGCTCATGGAACTACCAAGTATAGCTTTGAAAAGGGTGGAATTTCTAAGGCAATACAATCAAGCCAAGGTTGAGGCCTTATACCAGTTTGTCTTCCTCGATGAAACTTGGATATTTCAAAATGGGACCATAGGTCGCTCTTGGCAAAATGGAAACCAAAAAAGGGTGAAAGCTATTAAAACAGATGGTAAAAGGTATGTACTTTTACACAATTTGCACTATAAAATTTAAAACTAATATATTTTAGATACATTATATTACATGCTGGAAATGAAAATGGGTTTATTGAGGGTAGTGAAGCGATATTTTCTTCGAAAACAAAATTGAGCGATTACCATGGAGAGATGAACCAGGACAATTTTTTGAAATGGTTTCAACATCAGTTATTAGAAAAATTGGAGAGTCCATCTATGATTATACTGGATAACGCCCCTTATCACAGCATGATATTGAACAAAGTGCCCAACAATGCATGGACAAAAAAAAATATCCAAGACTGGTTGACAAATCAAAACATACCATTTTTAAACACAATGTTTAAAACAGAGCTATTGAGTATTGTTGCTCGGTACATAATGCTTCTTAATTATATATATTTTGGTCGACAGTTTATATTTCTTTTGTTTATTCATATTCTTAAAATAACTGCTTTTTTAGAAACAAACCACCTAAAATATACGTGATTGATGAATTGGCGGAACAACATGGGCACAAAGTTCTTCGTCTGCCTCCTTACCATTGTATATTTAACCCTATTGAGTTAATTTGGGGCATAGCAAAAGGTTACTATAACAGACATATTGGTAGAGATGGTAACAGTGAAAAAGACTGTTTGGATATGTGGAACAAGGCTCTACAAACGGTTACCCCAGACATGTGGAAAAATAGTGTTCGACATACTGAGCAAGAAATTTTTAAATGGTATGAAAGAGAACGAATTTTTGATCGACCAGACATCGAACCTTTAATAATCAACTTTGAGAGTGATGAAGATTCAGATTCAGACAGCGCTGAAGAAAGAAACTCCGACTAACTTTATTGTACAGAAAAAGCTTACACCAGTAGCTTACCTAATTTTAGAATGCATTTTTCTGTATGAATTCTGTAAAATAAATACCATGCATAAAATTTGGAGGACCCCATTTGGATTTTTATTCAGTACCTTTAAGCTATCAATTAAATATGGTAGTTTCATAGTGTCATCTGATCAATAATTGTCATACTTAATGATTATGCAAGTACAGATCTATAATTTTATTATACTATTATTTTTGTTCTCATTTGAGGTTAATATTGCTTATAAACCTAGATATGTAAATAATAAATTTTATTATTTTACAAAAAGTTTGGCAACAATGTAAATTTTTCAACACACCCACCTTGATGACGTGCACGCCACTTTGTTTGGCGTTGACTATATTGTGACTCTTGCAACATGTGGTCGGGCATTATCTTGTTGGAAAGTTGGATCTGCCAGGGTGTCAAGATAGGGTAAAAGATGGGGTTCTAGAACTTCGTGGATATAACGCTGCGCGTTCATGTTACCTATGATGAAGATTAAAGGTGACCTGGAACCATAAGCTATAGCACCCCAAAGCATAACTCCAACAGTGTGATGAACATGTCTTTCAACAAAAAACTGTGGATTCCTCCTTTCACCACGTCGCCTTCTAACCCTGGCACGACCATCGTGCATGCCTAAACAAAATCGAGACTCGTCACTAAACACAATACTGTTCCATTCCTGTCTTCCGTGTTCTGCAAACCATTCATTTGCAATGGACCTGGTAGTGGAGAAACGGTCCCTTAAGACCAATAATCTCAGACGGCGATCTTCACGGTCTGTTCTTCTACGGCGGCGTCGAGTGCCCCTTGCTCTTTGCGTACGGCCTTCTCGAAGCCATGCCTGACAACAACTAACCACAATGTCTACACTTCTTTGCACTCTAACTGCAATTGCCCGAAAAGAAAGTCCAGCTTCCCGAAGTCCCACTATACGGCCCCTATCAAACTCACTAAGTTGACGAAATCGTACAGGTCTCCGTACTCTAGGCATCGTAACCGATCGTAAAGGATGTCAAGAACCAAAATCCGCCAAAGTTGATTCTTTACTGCGGCTGAAATATTCATTTTTAGAGCGTTCGTGAATTAAAAAAAAAGCAGTATAAAAACCGGAATGTCCAACTGATAAGGCTGAAAATTTTTTCACTTGGTATTTACAGTAAGATAAATACATTCACCAACTTATATTAAAATAAAACCATTTAAACTGGGTGTTCGGATTTATATGTCACTTAGTATATTTTAAACCTATAACACCTTGCTACATTTTTATTATTTGTGTTTGATAGGAAAAAAACTAAGATTTCAATAGTTGGGCCAACTGAAGTGGGAAGGGGCTCATATGCCACTTACCTATCAACGCTGATGCAACAAAGATGCAATATAGACGCCGTGGAAAAGTACACGTCCAACGAGTTCCACACATCGCACATAAAATATCCGAAAATCCACCTGCCCGACACCTCGACACTGAAATTGAAGCACATCGCCCAAATGGCGACCAACATGTCGGCCAACGCCAAACTCACTACGAAATAATTCGTGATCACCCTCAGTTTCCGATGCCGCATTACTGACACGATCACTAACAGATTCCCAAACAGTGCCGCTATGATGATCAAGGCCATGATCATGGTCTTGAGCACGAAACCGAAGCAGATGACCCAAGATTGAGCGTCTGGCCATGACGTCACCAGGTAGACCGAGCTGTTGGTGATGTGGTCCAAGGGCGAGGACTCGTTCGTGATGTCTGACACGTTCTTCGGTGTTTCCGTGGTCAGTTCGGTGATTTTCAGCAGTCCATTCATGGTTGGGGCTTACAGATGGTGTCTCGGTTGAGCAGAGCGTTTGCGAGGTTCTTTGGCCGACATGGTCCAGGAGATGTCGAGGGGAACCTGCAACAAATGATAAGAAGAACGTTATTGTCGTTCAAATATCAAGTCTTTATCGGATAGTCACTTGCTCCATAATATCATCAGCTAAGTCTTTATGAACTGCGTATAGCTGAAAAGTTAATATTACCGAATTTGATAATGTGATTTATTACACAATTTCCAATCTAAAAAAGTCATATTTATATAACTGGTCTCGACTTATCGAATGAAGAACAACATGCTCTGCTTTGGGGTTAAGTGGAGGAGTAGCCGTCTGGCTAAACTTCGCCTCACTGCAGATAATAAAGGCATTATTATTATTATTATTATTATAATGCTAAAACTGTATCATAATATACTAAGTGACATATAAATCCGAACACCCAGTTTAAATGGTTTTATTTTAATAAAATTTTGTATAAGTACTTAATGAAGCATAATAAGTAAATGATAAAAATTTCAAAATGATTGCACTGCTTCAAAGCCCTTTGACCTTTAATAATGTGTGGACGCACCCTGATGTGCTACGCATTCTCCAACGCGCCTAGGCATGCTTCTGATCAGGTGGTCAATGTCCTCCTGTGGTATCTCATTCCAGGCAACTACCAACTCCTCTCGAAGTGCTTCTAGAGTCTGAGGAGGACGTTGCAAATTGAGCAATCTCCTACCCATCATATCCCACACGTGCTCAATTGGGGATAAGTCGGGAGATCTTGGTGGCCATGGTAACAATGTGACATCATTATGTTGAAAGAAGTCTATTGTGACTCTTGCAACATGTGGTCGGGCATTATCTTGTTGGAAAGTTGGATCTGCCAGGATGTCAAGATAGGGTGATAGGGTAAAAGATGGGGTTCTAGAACTTCGTGGATATAACGCTGCGCGTTCATGTTACCTCTGATGAAGATTAAAGGTGACCTGGAACCATAAGCTATAGCACCCCAAACCATAACTCCAACAGTGTGATGAACATGTCTTTCAACAAAAAACTGTGGATTCCTCCTTTCACCACGTCGCCTTCTAACCCTGGCACGACCATCGCGCATGCCTAAACAAAATCGAGACTCGTCACTAAAGACAATACTGTTCCATTCCTGATCCCAGAGTGACCGTTGTCTGCACCACTCAAGGCGATTACGTCGGTGTTCTCGAGTTAAAGGGAGGACCCAGTGTGGCCGGTATGAAAACAAGCCAAAACTTCTCATTCGTCGGTAAACACTTCGCATGCCAATAGGTCTTCCGTGTTCTGCAAACCATTCATTTGCAATGGACCTGGTAGTGGAGAAACGGTCCCTTAAGGCCAGTAATCTTAGGCGGCGATCTTCACGGTCTGTTGTTCTACGGGATGTCAAGCACCAAAATCCGCCAACGTTGATTCTTTACTGCGGCTGAAATATTCATTTTTAGAGCGTTAGTGAATTAAAAAAAAGCAGTATAAAAACCGGAATGTCCAACTGATAAGGCTGAAAATTTGTTCACCTGTTATTTATAGTAAGATAAATACATTCACCAACTTTTATTAAAATAAAACCATTCAAACTGGGTGTTCGGATTTATATGTCACTTAGTATATTTAAGGGTAGTATTGAATGGAAAGAAAATGGTAGTAGCTGATTCCGGAATAGAAAACAGCCTCGACGATGTTGCAGTTTCCTAAACACAATTCACATTTGCCATATCTAAACCGATGCACTGCTCCTCAAAAACTGAAGCATTGGTGATTCAATTGGATAAACATATGACAAACTGTCGTTTCCAAGACACGTTATACATTTTTAGAACCAGAATTAAAAACTGTGCAAAAATCCAACATAGCGACCACTAACGTATAAAAAATAGTTGATTATTGAGGACAACAGACATCATATTGGAGTTCTAATTATGTCACCTTGTAGAGGAGAAAACGTGATAATGTGCAATTTTTGTTTTGATATCCCATCTCAGATTGAATCAGAATAAATAATAGTTCAAAAAAACACGCTTTTATAGCTCTACCAAACCAGAAAGTAGAAAATAAATTTTAACTACAAAGAGTTTATATTTATTTAGTAGATGGTCGAACAATCAATCATAATCAATGACCTTAAAATAAAATTATAATAAAATTCGAAGTTGAGTCATTTATTTTAACAGTGAGTAGATCTGATCAAAAGAAATATTTTTTCCTTTAAAATTTTTCTGCTAAAATTAAAGTAACAAAGTTATAGCCCTTTGGAAGTTTGAGTACCGCTCTGTCTCAATAATAATATTATGTGCTCGTGTTTGGCGACAACGGATATAATCCGCCTTATCGGTTCTTCGCATCGAAAACAAAAAAGCGAAAGAAATTGGAACGATGTTTTTACAATTATTTTATTCATTTGTATACAGTCAGTGTCAGTCGGTAACGCGTGAATGAATAGTGGTGTCTGTGCTCCAAGACCTCACGATCAAATACAGGTCCGCACTGAAATACTTGTCGGGAGGATACTTTATAAAACAAGGTAAAATTTTTTTTTAATTTTTTTTTATTTTTACACACATATTTTGGTTTATCTTCCTTCTACAATCATTATCTGAAAATTAATGACTCAACTTCGATAGAGTAAAAAGCGTGGGGTGCATTTTCATAACTCTGTTCTCATAGATAGTTGCCAATATAACGATTGTAACTTTTAAATATATCAAGCACCCCGAGCTTTTTATTCTTAATTGAATTATTCTGTTAATAACTTAATCATTTCATTTTGAAGTCATTCATTATGATGGATTATTCCACCACCTACTGTTGCACTATAAGCTCTTTGTAATTAAAAAATATTTTCTACTTTCTAGTTCGGTTAGCTGTAAAAGCGTTTTTTAAACTATTATTTATTTATCATATTGTAGTTCGATTTATCAACTAGTTTTTTGAGGACATGTGGTATTAAAATGTCTTACGAATCATTTCGTAATCTAATCATTTCATTTAAAGCTCCACTGTTGCATGGGGTTTTTCCTGGTAACTTAGAGCAATCACAAAAAAATAACACCAACTTTGAAAAAGTCGGTTTTTCCTGACTGTCCAGAAATACTCTGAATCACGAAACATTCTAAGTCTCATTTTCTGGATTATCTTAATGCGCCTCACTGATATGTTTAACCATCTCCAAGATCCCAACGGTGAGGGTAGAATTTGAAACACCTGGTGGGGTGTCCCAAAAAAATTGAAAGTTGTTTTTTTACAAACGCATTTTTTCATCAATTGAAGGGCATCAGCATGCGCAATATCAAACAGATTGTCCAAGTCCGTAACAAACCTTTGTCGACGTTGCTCAAACACTTCTGATACAGAGTGTAAACGTTATAGTGGTCATTTTCGAAATGGATAATAGGGCGGGTCAAAACAAGTCGAAAGGTTCATATGACCCATGGTCCAAATGTCAATAGATTTTTGTCTAAAGGGCTTTATAGTTTACGACCATAATCACCACAATCTTACTAATTTTTATAATCTAATCTAAAACGTTTTTAAATTGGGTAATTAACAAATAAATGGCATTAAGTTTTTCTAAGTTAAGCCAAAATTTGTAGTCAGTAAGTAAGTTTCATTAAATTAAATATTTAAAACACACATGACAACAGTGCGTCGGTCATTCATCACTCTTATCGAACCGGCAATCGATCGCAAACGGTAACAGTGGTTAGTTATTGTTCGCGTACGTCGTCGTGTTTATTTACAATGTTCTCGATTCAAGATTGACCGAAAGTCCGGTTATCGTTCCCCGAACCCAATAATATTCATTTGACGTACATACGCTACAGCTGCTACATGTTATAACATAGTTCTTCTTCAATGCCATGAAATGTCTTATTATAAAATCAAAGCTGGCCACGGCGCTTTAGAGAAAGAGTTATAAAAGATCCATAGACTGACATTGACGTCAGGCTTGTGAACCAATAGCCTGCCATGATCTTATCTATGTTATGTACGGAGTTTTCTATTTTGTCGAGCGTCTGTACTAAATAATAACTAAAGGATACTTTCTTGGAAGGCACGTGCTATCGACCTACAGGCCCCATAAACAATTGAATCAATCTTGCAAAAACCACACAAGTTGCGCGATGTGAATCCGTCAGGAAACAATAGAAACTGAATAATTGACAAATAAACCAGGTGACTACCATTGTAAGCTTATGTATTTGAGTTTGAAAATGTTGGAATTTTGAATAATATTCATAGGTTACACTGATCAACAACCAAAAAATATCCTAAATAAAATCAACAAAATATTACTATTTTTAATGTGCTAAAACCGGAATGAAACTTATTTTTTCAATATTAGTTCAAGTTTTAGAGATACGGTAATTATATGTGTTCCTGCTGTGACAGTGTTAATATACTGTAATTCACAAGAATGCACGTGCTACATTTTTATATTCGGCAAGGAAAGATGTAATCGGCATGATTGTGTTACGTTATACATACGTATACATTATATTGTTTTATATTAGCCATTTTTTCCTCAGTTGGCTGACAGCGTTCATGCAAGATGTCTCGAAAGTGTGTAAACAATCCAGATCAGTTTTGTTACGTGTGTGGTGATTTTTGCCTCTCAGAGACGGACTATTACTCCACGGATAACAAAGGCATATCAGCTTTATTTCGGTTGTAAACTAGGTGATCAAGACAAACAGTGGGCACACCACATCTGCTGTAATACATGTTCTTCAAGTCTGAGGAGCTGGTTAAATGGCAAAAAACGGTCTATGCGCTTTGCTGTCCCAATGGTTTGGAGAGAGCCTACAAATCATATTAATGATTGTTACGTTTGCATGGTACCTTGTGTTGGACAAGCCACAGGTATGTCCAAGAAAAAAAAAAACGGTTATTAACTACCCAAAAATACCATCTGCGATTAGACCTGTGCCTCCCAGTGACGAAAATCCTATTCCAAAACCCCCAGAATCCTACACTTGCGAATCAGAAAACGAATCAGATCATGGCGATCGAGTGATTCGTCAGGAAGAAGATATGCCATCAACGTCAAGAGATTCTGATTTTATACCGAGC